CCTTAATTAAATTCATGCTAATATTTTCTTAGAATTCTTTATATTAATTTTAAATAATAGAAGATCTTAAATAAGATAAGAATAAAAAATAAGGCATTTATATAGAAATTGAGTAAGTTTCTTTTTTTAACAATTTTCTAAAACCAAATATATAAATTAAATAGAAATATATCTTTACAATCGAAATCCGAAATTTCTTGAATTCGATAAGTCATTATTAAGTATATATTCATATTTTTGCTAGGATAAATATAATTATTGAAATTTCAATATATTTTGAAATATATTATCTATCTATAGAGATATATTTTTATTCATTTAATCAATATAGAAAGATCATATTAGCAATTAATTTAAATCGACAAATCTAAATAAATAGATAGATATAAATAAATAATTATAGACAATCAAATAAATAGACAGAGAGAGATCGACGAACAGACAGAGAGACAAAGACATAAGCAGGCAAGAACATAAATAATCAAATAACAAATAATTAATAAGGGAGGCAGGAAAGAAAGAAATAAATAAATAAATGATTAGATAAATAACCAAATAAACAAAAAGACAAGGAAACACGCGAACAAATAAACAAACTCTTAATCAATAAATCATCCAAACAAATAAATATCAGAACGACCGACAAAAGCGCCTATCCCTTGCTCAAATCCAGACAAATAAAGATAGATAGAAACAGAAACAAACACAGCTAGAAACAAAGAGAAAACGACAGATAGAGACAAACAAACAGACAGACAGAGACAAGTCAATAGAGACAGACAAACAAAGACAAACAAACAGAGACAGACAAATATAGACAGACAAGCAGATAAGCAAACAAGCAGGCAAGCAAGTAGACAAACAGGCAAGCAAGCAGGCAAACAAGCAAACAAACAGACAAATAGACAGAGAGACAAAGACAGACAAACAAATAGACAGACAGAGACAGACAGACAGACAAACAGAGACAACAAACACAAACAGACAGACACAGACAGACAGACACAGACAGACAGACACAGACACAGACAGACAGACAGACAGACACAGACAGACAAGCACAGACAGACAGACACGGACAGACAGATACAGACAGACAGACAGGCACGAACAGACAGATACGGACGGACAGACAGACACTCAGCCAGACAGACAAACGGACCGGCGGCCACACAAACACACTCATATAGATAGACAGACAGACTCATACAGACAGATGTCAGACAGGCAAGCATGTCCCCCTCGAGCTAACAAAAGATCGACTTTAATACCGCGAGATCTCTAAAAACTAGCCGAACATCCTAACAATTTTATAACCGCGAACATGCCCACCAAAAATTTCGGGAGTTTTACGACCGCGAACATGTCTGCCTAAAGATACCAGACTTTTTGAAAATCTAATACCACGAGATTTTCTAAAGCTACCAACATTTAGAGACAGCTCGCGGTACCAAAATTTCCGAAATTTTAGTACCATAAAACAAACACTCAAGAGGTCTTCAAAAAGAAATGCGAGAAAGACGGGTTACACAAAATCACTGTCGCAAGCAACACGACATCATTTTATCATAGAATTCCACAAAGAAAAATATCAATCATATTTTTAAATTAAGAAAAATTCTATTCATATTCGATTCGAAAATAAAAAACTTAGAATATTCTAAAATCAATTATAAGCTTCTTATTTTTAAAAATTAATTCGTCTTATAAAGACTATATTCTATATCAAATCGACATGCTTATATTCATTAAATTGATTTCGGTAAAAATTATCTACTTCTCTTCGAAACGAACTATATCTAATTTCTTGTAGAACTATTATTATCAAATTTTCAACTTATTCGATTTTTATAAATCCGACAATATAAAACGACTTATAATAGCTATATATTTAGCTCTATATCAATAATATATATATATTATTCTTACCTTTTTGGAAATGAATTCCCATCATATCAATCCCTATATCATAAATATATCACCATTGTTCAGAAACCGATATCCTTACCACGAAATCAATCATTTGTCTAGCTCTATTTGAAACAGAATTTCAAGTAAGTATCAACCTAATATCAATCATATTTAAATTCACTATAAATATCAGAAGCTCAGGACGACAAAAGCCATCTCAAAATGATGGACCTCTTCATTGGCCGAGTGAAATATTTTCAGATGGACATCTCCGGAAGTATCGAATTTCTTTGGCTCTGCAGCTGCACGCAGAGTTTGCAGGGCGTCCATGGAGGTGCGCAACTTGCAGGCTTGAAGGAAGCATCTCCAGGCCCTGTACCCTCCTCCTTCGTCTGGTCCCTCCCAATTTCTTGAAGGGTTGATTCCGTCGGGGTGTGAGGCAAAGCTCAAGGACCGGAGCTGGCACCCGGGGGCTGCGCCCACCAACCTCAGCTCGCAGCGGCTCTGGCAGGGTTTTGGGGCATATTATACTACAACTGTAATAAGGAACTCCCAAAACAGTATAGCTAATTATTAAGGCCCCTGTTTTCAGCAGGCGACCGTGCGAGGTATGGAAGAAGGAGCTCGGCACCTGCAGAGTGCAAAGCAGGCATCCAGAACCCCAAGCCCCCCCAAAACCCCCCGAATCACCAGTGGATCTAAGGCCTGGCCATGGAGCATAGTGCCCGGCGGGAGCGACGGTGCCTGATTTTCTCTGGGCTCCAAAAAGGGATCCAAAGCCTCGGAGGGTAGCAGTTGCACTTGAGGTCCCGACGGCCATGGCCGCCGGGGTGATCTGGTAGCCTCCTGAGGCAACGAGCTCCAAGTCCCACTCGCTGTTCACTACTAGCATGATCGATTCTTTCGGCACTGCTATGCAACTTATGCCTCCATCGTTCGGCTGTCTTTGCCATGGACCCGGAACGACGCCCAAAGCCTGTGCAATGCCCACGCACAGTTTACGCTTTGCTTGAACCGGCTTACAGTTTAGGCTCCCTGTGCTGACAGTACCATGTCGTGGTGTCATTGGCCAGACTGCCTGCCTGTTTCAAGGTCGATAGCGTCTATAATTCCCTGTTGTATTCCCTCATAAACTTATCAGCTAAGCTTTTTTCACCATCGATGACTGCTGCCGTCGCATATAATTTTCACGTTTTCTTGCATCGCGCTTGCCTTCGTGACTCTAAATCTGAACTCTTTCTGCATGCATGCGGCGGTAGTGCACTGCTCTCCCGGGCATACAACCCTGGTGACTGGGACTGGCAACTTGGCAAGCAAAGCGACGTGAAGGAGCGGGGACAAACGATGAAGGGGCTCGTCCGTCCTTCCCTTTGCTGTCGTTATGGTCGCACCGACCAGCGCAGCAGTAGCAGCGCAGCAGCGTTAGCAGGCGCAGCAGCAGTAGGAGTAGTGAGTAGGTGCTGGGTAAACCCTTACTAAACCCTGAACCCTAAACCCACTGCACTTAAAAAATTCTTAAACCCCTGAAAGACCCTCCTCCTTCAGGTGGGCAGGTCGGCCGGATCCGTGCTTTTCAGCCCGAAGCTCGAGGCTCAGTTCAAGTACTAGTACTAGTAATTCTAGTAGTAGCAGCAGTAGTCGTAGCAGCAGTAGCAGTAGCAGTAGGAGTAGGAGTAAGAGGAGGAGCAGGGGCAGGAGCAGGAAGAGTAGGAGGAGTCGTCTTAGTAGTAGCAGTAGTAGTAGTAGTAGTAGTAGTAGTCGTAGTAGTAGTGGTAGTTGTTGTAGGAGAAACAGGAGCAGTAGCAGCAGCAAGAGCAGCGTCGCCGAGCCTCCGGTGGAACTTTCAGCCTGGCAACAGGCCGTGTCAGCATGTTCATCTGGGTTTAGGGTTTAGGGATATACTATATGATATGATATGATATTCTATTATCTGCCACTGTCCGATTAGACTTGTCGTCAGGATCACTGCTCTTGGCAACGTGCCAGGCACTCCTTTGCGTATTCTTCGCATTGGTGCCAATGCAGACACCATCTCCTACAGGGCTCCTTGCACTATGGTAAGGCGCGTCCTGGCTCCACAACCCCCAACTTTCGAAACCGTCTTCAGAACCCCAGCAAAAGCAAAACAAGCTGGGCTTCCTGTGAAGCTGGCGTGGATCTATCTCAAAGGAGCAGTGGGGGCACCGGATGTTGTTGGGAACCTGCTGAAGTCAACAATAGATTGTGTCCGGGAAGCCATGGATGAAGAACTTACGCCAGACTACAAACATCTCATGACTTACATCTGAGGGTATACAGCCGAAAATCAGGCAAGGGCTTTTCATGCTCTGGGAAGCTCGGGCTCGTGTTACTACGCTTCGGGGCCCAGCGCCCTCCTACTTTCGTGCTCATGACTCTTGCAGGCTTGCTACGCGAACTTTGTCTCTCTGACCTTCGGATGAGACGACACAGTACCCCTCCAAATGATTTCAGAAAAATGTGCGGAAGTGGCTCAGGATGACTTTCATAGTTCCGTCGGCCCTGCCCTTGCCCGCAGACTAAATCTACCAACGGCTTCTCTTGCTCAAGCATGCTGCTCAAAATCTGAAACCTCCAGAACAGGCTGGCCTTGGCGCTCGCCTTGGGACTGCTGTGCCTCTTGGCTTTCGGTGGCTCCGGCCGTGGCGGCGTCTTCGCACCTCGACTATGTCTACTACTACTGCTACTACTACTACTACTCCTCCTACTACTGCTACTACTACGACTATCACTACCTCTGCCTGGGTGTGTGTGTGTGTCTAGGGAATGTCAAAAGATGCTGGAAGAGCTGGCAGTGGAGAAGACGGCTTGTTGCAGCAACAGCAGCAGACACAGCAGCAGCGCAGCAGCGGCAGCGCAGCAGCAGCGCAGCAGCGGCTGCAGCAGCCTGAGCAGCAGCAGCAGCAGCAGCAGCAGCAGCAGCCAGCGGCAGATAAAAAACAACAACAATAGTGATAACCCTGAACCGCCTAAAACCCAAACCTTAAAGTCTAAACCCTAAGCAGACCTTGGCCGAGCAATCGTTGCGAGCACACGCATGTGTGCTGCTGAATAAATAGTGTTTGGGTCTGCGTCGTCCGCGTCGTCGTCCGAGCTGCTTCTTGCCAATGAGGGCAATCCCTGAGAGGAGGTCTCCAGAATCACTCCAATTCCCAGCTTCTCCAAATCTCTGACAACCCCAGTTCATGCCAGGGACCGCGCCCCTGGGACTGGACGCACCTGTTCGGGTGTCATTTCTGCCATGTCGCCGTGCTGCATGCATAAGTTAAGCTTAGACTTGCGGGATCACGCAGCGCATAAGAACATATTAATATAAGAGCTAATACGCCATTTGGGGAACTGACGAGCAGGCTTTAATATCGTATATGGATGCTTATACGTGCTTGGTCATCTTCGCACACTTGCAGAGGCTTGCGCTGAAATACAAAGTGGGCGTTAATGTGCTGCCGACAATTTTCGTTCTTCCTCAACGGTCGCGGACACCGAACGATTGAATGGGACGTCTTGCCAACCCGTGAGAAAAGCCCTCAGACGTCTCAGTGCATGTCAAGCCCTCTCAGCCCGGTTGGCCGACCGTCAGAATGAAGTTCCAATTAATCCCTTGGCTGTATATAAACAAATGAACAATGACTCCTAAGGAGCACTGAGAACCCTCACACCTTTGTCTTCTTCTCTGCTGACGCTTGGGACTGGCCTTTTGCTCCTGTGCTCTTCGCCTGGCATTGGGAGCTGTTCCCTGCGGGACGCTTGGAGCAAACAGCGAGAGAGAGAGAGAGAGCCGTTGAACGAAATCCGAACATAGGGACTTATGTTCTGAGCCACAACTGATATACAGGCCTCAGTAGTTAGCATCACGCGTTGGGCTATATTCTACTATGGCTATGACTATGACTATTCTTTTTGTACGGACCATAGGAGTAAACTACTACTGATTGTTATTCAGCGTCTCGGCCCCTGTATGGTTCGCATGGCTGCCGGGTTTCAGCGGCTGTCTGCTCCCTGAGGCGCCCACCTCGGGCTCTGACTTGGCAGGAGCGGAACTCGCCTCAGCCAAACCGCCAATCTCCGAATACCGACTGCGAGCAAAGCCAGGCATGCCGCATACATCTGCGACATCTCCTCCCAAAGGTCGTCGTAGAGGTCCTCGCCGGCTGCTCGCAGTCAGTCCGACTGCGAGGCTGGTAGCAATATGTCAGCCATTGGCAGCCCGAAGCCCTTGCTGGCTGTGCCGTTTGTCGACAGAACATCTTGCTCAGCGAAGCTACAAGGGCGATCGTCTCTAGAGGTCATCTCATTGCACGTGAAGATGTAGGCATGCAATTATTCCAACTCTCAAGCGTGGTCGTGCGCACACATTAAACGCGAAGCACTACCATATCTTCATTCTTCGTTTAGAAGATAGGGGTTTCTCGGCCCGTTTGAAACAAGGAGCACGACCCAAAAACACCTGAATATTCCAAAATATCTTCAAAGATGAGACAGCTCTAAGCTCTCGGTTGGAACCCAAAACAATCTGCCCCAGGACTGGCCTCGAACTCTGCCTGCACGATCTTGCCATCCTGGCACAAACATCTCAGGAACATGGGCAGGGAGGTCGAACGACAGGAAATTGAAGCCGCCACTTGCTTGGAATCGGCTCACTTAGCCTGCTTTGATTGCCGTCCCTTTCGAGGGGCCTTGCTTTTGTCCAACTCCTCCAGGACGTTCTGGACGACATCCGGAGACAGCGGCTTTTGAACCTGCAATCTGCAGACATCTCGCAAGTCTGGGCTCCAAGGCCGGCTAAAGCGCTGGGAGCGGAGCCTGGTACGTCTTCCAGATGTGCTTCCTTTAGAGAATTTGGAATTTGCAGACAAAGTTTTTGAAGCAGGGCATGGCTTTAGATGTGCTCCTTCTTTCTGCAGAGTGACTGGAAATCTGAGGAGAAAGCAGCAGGCTGTCAACCTCCTCCCGTTCAAGGATACCGCTGCCATCCTCATCGTTGATTGCAGACGGCAGAGGCAGTCCCACTGTGATTGTTGCATCCGGAAGCATCCAGAACATGGTCTACTTTGATTTGGACCTTGTCGAAGTCCTGCCACATCTGCCTGCGGAGCTACTATGCTGTGCTGACACTGGAAGAGTGAGTGGGAGACACGGCTCACTGTCTCAAGACAGATGGATGCTGCCTCGCTGGCACCTTCTGCGCATTCTGACCTTACTGACTGCTGGAACCACGCTATGGGCCCAAGGGAGCCAAACCAACATTACAAGAAAGACTGGAGCTCACATTCTGCCGCAGAGAAGTTGAAAGTCACGCAAGCGCTGCCGCTGCCCCACCCGGTGTAAACTGAGGACGAGGGCCCATGTCTGTGTGCCAGGATCCATTCGATTCAGCTCAGCATGGCTCAAGCCGAATTTGTGCTGTATATACGTCTCTAACATGCAGGAGAAAGGTCCTACATCATCTAAGGATGGTGCCACACAGACCGGTGTGGCCCGGCACGAAGATGAAACTTTCGGCGTCAGACTTCGGGCTGCTTGGCTTCGGTGCACAGAGCTGGCATCAACGGATCAACGGCACAAGCTGCACAACATGCAGGATTCATCAATGTTGGACGAGATATCGCTTAGCAAAGGAGTTTCCTGAGGACGAGAGCAAATTTCCGAGAGCATATCCATTTTCTGCACCACCCTCTGTGGCTCGCTCGTCTTGTTCACTCGTCACCCTCCGCGGGCTCCATCGGCTCATCTGAGTCCTTGATGTTTGTAACATCAGCCTCCTTCTCCTGCTGCTTAATTTTTGCCTCTGTGGCATCATCCTTTTCATCTTTCTCTTCTTCGCCTTCATCCAGCATCGTGTCTTGGAAATCGTCTTGATCCTTCTTGCTCAGCCCAGCCGGAGGGACTGGGTTCTGTGTCTTGCTTTCGTCGGCCTTCTCAGCCGCCAGCTCCACCGTGTCGTCCTCGCTGGCATTCACGGTGGGCTGGGTTTTGTCGGTCAGCACCAGGCCACAGCCAACGCTGAGCATCGACAGGACCGCAAGTACACGGAACATGGCGAGATCTCGTTCAAAGAGCCGAACTTCGTTGAGGTAGGGGCTGCAGGCAACCCAGCTGAGCTTGGGCAAAAGGAGACAGCCACACAATGCCACACACCAAAGAACCGGGAACTGGACTGGGCACGTCATGGGATGATGTTATCCTGCACTAGTAGGTTAGTACGCCTATGCTTGGGTCACTCAACATCATCATGCCTTCACCTTTGTCCACGGCAGGGCTGGTCTCTCGCGAGGTCCTGTGACTTGCCTGTACGTGGTCAGCGTCTTGAGCTAGAGCGCCCGTCGAGATGCGGGCTCACTTGCTCTTCTTGGGTGCAGCCTTGGGCGCAGCAGGTGCGGACTTTGCTTTGGGGGCCTCGGCCTCAACACCCATATCAGCGGCATTGGCCTCGTCTTCCGCAGTATCCATCATCTCGTCGGAATCGGCTGTCTCTTCGGCTGCTGCAACCTTTTCCTCCGCTGCGATCTCCGCGCTGGA